CAGCGATTGGTTCATTCCAAGACACAATAGCAGTTGGTAGGCGGAATGTAGTGTTTACTGTTATATTGTTTGGACAAAAGGTAATAACTGGATCCTCATTGTCTGCAATGAAGAATATCAAACAAATACTAATGACTGAAACATGTGGGAGAATGGTGTATCTTCTATTTTATATATAAATTTGTTATGAGTTTTAACACGTAGGATTTTAGTAGTTGAAATCGCCATCTGTAAGTAATGGAAGCAATAATAGCTGTGTTTATGGATAGGTGACTGCTATCAGTGAACAGTTAGTTTATAAATACCACTTTAATTTTTTAGACTGTCTCTTATACACATCTTTTTGTACATTGTAAATTTGGATTTGTTCAAATGTTATTTTCACTGAATGTTATATGTTAGGCTTACCTTGAACAGTGATTGTAAAGGAACACATGTCAGTATTTCCATATGGATCTTCCGCTGTGTATGTCACTAAAGTATCACCTACTTGGAATGTACTGGCTGGTCCAATATCAACAGTAAAGTTCACTCTACCGGAGTTGTCCTCAGCGATTGGTTCATTCCAAGGCACAATAGCAGTTGGTAGGCGGAATGTAGTGTTTACTGTTATATTGTTTGGACAAAAGGTAATAACTGGATCCTCGTTGTCTGCAATGAAGAATATCAAACAAAAACTAATGACTGAAACATGTGAGAGAATGGTGTATCTTCTATTTTATATATAAATTTGTTATGAGTTTTAACACGTAGGATTTTAGTAGTTGAAATCGCCAATAGTAAGTAATGGAAGCAATAATAGCTGTGTGTATGGATAGGTGATTGCTATCAGTGAACAGTTAGTTTATAAATACCACTTTAATTTTTTAGATGATTTTTTAATAGTCATCCAGAACGGAAATAAAATTGTAAAAAAAATGTGTTATTTCATTTAAGAAAGTATTTGTATTATGTACTGTACATATGTATATATACTGTGTATAGAATAATAGAATAAATACCTTCGATCGCTACTATCACATAGCACGTGGCTTCATTGCCTACTGGAAATGCACTGTCAATGAAAATATGTTCAATTTCAGTTTCACCGATTGGTAATACAACAGTAGTCTCAACAACAGTGTACGTCTGGTTAATGGTTATGGTCTTTTGGTTTGCGCCTTTGTAGTTGATAAACATTGCATGAACTTGAACGTTATCCATGATGCTAATGTTGTAGCTCACAGTGCCATTTGGTTTTCCAAGATCTGTTACACCACTAACTAATGATGGACAAATTGGAACAGGAGGCTCTTTGTCTAAAAATTGAATTTATAGAATTATTAAATATTTGATTAATAATAAAAATAATTTAAGAAATAAAAAAATACATAGGAATGATACATCAACTCTCAAAGTACATAAACTACCCACCTTCGTATGAGTTCACATATTATAATAACCGTTCTTATCAATAACGTACTTGTTTGAAGTAAAATTGTTAGGACATACGATGACCGGAGGTTCCTCATTCATAAACAAAGTAATTTATTAACAATACATGCGATTTTGCAATTATTTGTTTCATTAGATTTGCTAAATTTTGTTACCTTCAACAGTGATTGTAAATGAGCACATAGCAGTATTTCCATATGGATCTTCCGCGGTGTATGTTACTAAAGTATCACCTATTTGGAATGTACTGGCTGGTTCAATATCAACTGTAAGGTTCAATCTGCCAGAGTTGTCCTCAGCGATCGGTTTGGTCCAAGAAACATTAGCAGTGAGTAGGCGGAATGTAGTATTTACTTTTGTATCGTTTGGACAATTGTAAATAATTGGTAACTCATTGTCTGCAAAGAAGAATACACTGTACAAGATAATTTTTTTTGTCCGAAAAATTAGAAATTAGTTTCCACTGGCAATTATACAAAATATAAGCAACATAATACAGCAAGAATAAATACAAGATTACATACTGTAAAAGATTAGTAATTAAAAGTAAAACCACAATACAATATCAAAACACGATATTTAAACAACATTTACATAAATCTAAATTAGACTTAAATTAATTATGTTTTAAAGTGTCAATTTTCAAATGGATCGAGTTTGAAACAAAATAATTTCTATAGAGACAGGTGGTGAGTGGTAGTTGCCACCGGAACTACTAAAAATAAAGGCATGATATAGAGGACGAGTCTTGCCGTTCATTATATTCTTACGTTTTGCCAAAGTATGTTCTTACGTTTTGCCAAAATGTATTTGTTATAAATGTCATCCAGATGTAGAATTTTCTCTTTAATTACTTTCTGTGTAGTTTTCCTAATTTTGTCTAATATATTTACATTTCCTTCTGCTAGGCTTTAGTGTCAAAATTTCCAATAGGCTATACAAATGGTAATTAAAAATCGACACTAGGTTAATTTGTTTTGTATCTGTTTACATACAGGTTTTTGTTAGTGCATCCAGGTTTTTTAAAAATTATACAAAGTTTCGATTGATTGAATGGAAAAATAATGATATTTTAACGTTTTCCGCAATAAAAAAAATATTGAATATAATTTTGGGGATTGCGTTTTAGTTTTTATTTTTCAAGCTTTACCTAAGACCTGGATAGCAAATTCACATGTGTCAGCATTTTCGTAATCATCCGTTGCTGTGTAGACAATCTGAATAAACGAAGTGGTGACTGGTATCATACCACCTGACTGGTATGGTGCAGCTACGACCGTAACATTGTC